AAGCTGGTCTAGCAGTGAGCGGCCGCGGCTGGCGGCGGAATGTGTGCCTCCGCCGGTCTCGTGCTGAGCCGTGGCGGACAATATCTGTGCTCGGCGCCGCGTTATTGGTTACGCAATGTTCGTCTGGCTGTTACATTACTCTTAGCAACGTTTACAAATCTCTTTGTCCATCACGGGTTTTCAACAGTGCGTAGAACAAGTGCATATCCATGTGTCGTGCGGCGGATGACGCGGATGAAGCAGTTAGTGTTCAGCGAAATGGCGTTGGGCACCATGACGAAGCTGAATGACGACGAACGCCTTGCCTTGCAGGTCAGTGACGGTTGAGCAGTGCTCCTGCTTGTGACAACGGACGACGCTGTTGAGCCCAGCAAGACGCAGTGAGGACCATGTGCACATACGTAGTTTCGTGTTGTGTGTGTACAGTAACAACTTGCATGTGCGTATTAAAACACCTTTTCTGTTCCGCTTGGTACACTCTCCACCAGCATTGCATGTAATCTCAACGTAACAGCAACCACGTTCAACTGTCACTAGCACCGTGCTCAAAGTCACCACGGTCGCAGAATGCTGACGCAGGTGAGTTTCACGCGGAACACGGACACAGTGGCAGGACGCTGCGTCAGTCGCGTGGCGGAATGCAACCGTAGAAGGCGCACGACCGATCGTGTTGTCTGTACAGTAGCTCAATTAATGACGTGAAAGCACTCGCCGTTGTCAGTGCATCTAGCGCGCGTTCTTTCGTAGTTGCTTCGTTGTCAGCGAGCTGTTACTCTTTGTTATTACTCGGACGAAGCGATTTCGCTGAAGGTGTCCCGCTGGCTCTGAGTGATGAGCCCAGTTCCATTAGTTTCGGATCGTCACGACACACGCGCTGCGCAGCCCACGTGCTTTCCGAGCCGGAGAGGGAGTCGCGCCTTCTGCTTCGCATTCATATGTAAACAAGAGAGGAGAATTTGCCTACTCAATATGGCCGACTTCCGGCTTCATCGCGGCTTCACAACGAGTGACGTCAGGGCCTCTCCTTACCTTTTCCTTCCTCCATGTGGTGAGTCGAGCATTGGCGGCGCCGCCTTGTGTTTGCTATGTTGTAGAGGTTCGTGGAATATTTTGTAAGGTCTGTTTAGCGTGTTGGTCACTTGTGATGTATTTGATTTCGGCGGACTATATTGTGAAGGAAAAATCAATTAAATAAATGTATTGTATTGTTTGGTTCAACCATGTCAACTGTGTCCGTCAATTTTGAGAGCGGCTGTCATTTATAGACGCCACAATCGAAAGACAAACGTGTCAGTTGCCCCTCGGTGTCATTCTCTTAAAAAAGCGCGCCGATACCTTTGTATACATCCGCCGCCATATTCACGAAGTGAATGATGATGAGTGGGCGAAGCTCCGGAGGTAAACCTGGTAAACCATGAATCCTCTGTACATTTGGCCCACTCGATTTTATTACATCGCTCCCCCTAGCGTACGTCGCCGCACTAAATCGAACGATTGCCTTCAACCAATGACACGCGCCATATGTGACATCATTCCTATTTTATAAGATCTCGCGTCTTTCATCAACTACAAGTACCGCTTTCTCGTTTATAACATCTTGCATCTTTTCATCATCAGCTACAAGTACCACCATCTAGTAAACACTACAAGAACTAAACGAGGGGTGGCTACATACAGGAGACGGTACCGCCATGTAGTGAACACTGCGAGAACTCAACTATAGGTGGCTACATACAGGGGACGGTACCGCCATCTAGTGAACACTGCAAGAACTAAACTAGAGGTGGCTACATACAGGGGATGCACAGCCCACGCCCTAAAGAGCTTCGCCTCTAAAAGCGCGCCGATACCTTTGTATACATCCACCTACTGTTTTTTTTAATTTCTTATCAGCACCGCGTGTGTGTGGTTCTTTTATTTGTGTGCGTTTTAGGGGCAAAGCTGCTAAAGCTATGGGTCTGTCCATTCGTGTCTTCCTTGTGACTGGATCGTAACCACCTAGTTGTATGACTCAATCAGCAGGTGACACTATTGTGAGTGACAGACAGACAGACGGACGGACAGATGGACAGACTTACAGATTGATGGACGAATGGATGGACAGACAGACAGACCGACAGACAGGCAGACATAAAAAGAGACAGACGGACCAACAGATGGACAAAATGACAGACTGACGCACGGACGGACGGACAGACGCGCTGATGGATGCACTGAGGGATGCACTGAGGGATGCACGGACAGATGGACCTCATTGCCAATGACTGTATCATGCAGCCCATGCTTTCCAAATACACACTCAGATGTATCCATATGCAACCTACCATTATCCGAGGGAAGTGCATAGACAGTGTTTGCAAACTGCCCACTTTACCCGGTACAAGAACCTTTCTGGCTTCATTTCCCGGACCATAAAGCCGTAATAATGAAGGGACTTAGCGATCCAGCCACCATGACAACAAAGAAATCAAAAGAAAAAACGTAGAAACGAAGCAACAAACGAATAAGAGCACAAAAAAGTTGATTTGTATAATATACGCACATTCTTACGTCTTTCTAATGTGATGGGCTATCTTTTCACGGGAGAGGTACGGTTTACAGAAAATTTCCCCCCCTCTCGAGCTTCGCCCGCTTGTCATCATGCGTTGCGTGGATATATGGCGTGATTTTTTTAAACGCGAATGCGTTTCTAAGTTAGTATACGTCAGGTGTCCGTCGGGATCCGCCCACCGCCCCATCCTATAGCAAAAGCTGCAGGCGCGGGCACTTATCCCCGCCCCTAGCAACTGAAGTGAGTGGTGTGAGAGAGTGCAGAAGAGGGTAGGTGCAGTGCTTCGCTGCTCCTTCTCTCACCAACCGCTCTCTTCCTCTCCTTCCGCTCGCACCTTACTCTCGACCATTCGCAGGCTAGGCGCCTCAGAAGACCCTAAGGAAATGTGTGTTCGTGACGCTGCTGTGAAACGCCAACGCCGAGCCGAGAACGCTATTTTAAAGACGATTGTCTTTCTTCGGGACCTTCGACGCAAAAATTTTGGTCTGTCTGTTTGTACATTTGGGTGTTTGTCTACCCTTAACGATACACTAAAAGGCACCAAAGTGGCCAAATGATATTTTAAACGACTGACCCCGTCCGCAGCGCCCACCATTATTGCTCAAGGTTTAGCGTTCATACTTGTGAGATTGTCAATTAAAAAGCAATTATTGCGCACATCTGAGGCACCATATCAACACGTCAATATTCTGTATACTTGTATCTTACTAGAAAAACCACACATAAGTAATTATAAGGACCATAGCGTTTATCACGTTACGCTGACCAGGCAACGCTTGCACAAAAAGGCGAGTGTTTCCAACGCTTTGCTAAGCCGACACGGTGGTGGCACCTACCTGTCGCCTTGCGTTCTACCCCTTATCACCTCAGAGACGGGCGCGCAGGGCGCCCGCGCGCTTTGTTGTCCAAAATAACGGGAAGATGGCGCTCACGTCTCACGTGGGACGTGATTTTATGCGCTCGTTCACCTCCGCTGCATGCTCGAAACACTTTAGCGCAGCCCCTCCAGTATACCATTCACAAATTTTCTTGCGCAGAACATCAAATGAACGTTTTGCTCGCTCTCTCCACACGCAAGACTATCATCTTTCGACATTTGCAGTGTAACATGCGGATACGGGGCCATTTTTTTGTTTTTGTTCACTTCATAGTTTTCTTTAGCGTGTATGCTAGGTACTAAAGCTGGAAACGCATACCGCGTTTCTCGCGACAGAAAAAAGTCCATGGGCGGTGAATGGCTCTATTGGCACCACGCGGGGTAAGAAAAAAAAAAAGAAATCACTCTTCTTCTAACACTGAGTCCTCACGTGCGAAACGCTGTTATGGACGCTGTTATGGATATATGGTGAAAAGATGCGAGATGGTGGTACTTGGAATGCTCAATAGATGGACGGGCGGATGGACAGACGCACGGATGGACACACGGACGGACTGACAGACGCACGGACGGATGGACTGACTGACGAATGCAGGAACAAACACAGGGACGAACGCGCGGATAAATGCAGGGACGGACACACGGATGGACGCACAGACGGTTGGTTGCATAGATGGACAGACGGACGCGTGAATGGATGGACGTATGGACAGATGCACAGACGGATGAATGCAAGAATGGACGAACGGACGGATGGATGGAAGCACGGACGGTCGCACAGGCGGACGCACGGATGGACGGAAGCGCAGACGGACTGACGGGCGCTTCGCCCCTCTCACCATTATGCACTCCGTGTATAAGCTGTGATTTTTTTCTTCGTCGTTTTCACGGCTGTCAGTGCGCATGTGGGTGTTCTTAAAGATAAGCAGGGTCTTTCGAAAATGAATGATCAGTTGCAGTACAGCACTTGTGTTTGCGTCTTTTTATGTGTGCGTGTCTTGTGTCCCTCTGTGCGCTGTTTCTTCGAAAATAATGGCTTCCTAACTAACCCATCAGTACACATTGAGGTGCATAGTAAATCATTTTTTTACGCTCTAAAGGGATTATGCCACCAAATTTGGTTGCGCGTGACAAGAAACTAAATGACACTTTTCAAGGTCAACAGGTAACGAATTTTTAGATATGTAGATGATTTTTTGTCATTTTCAGTATGAAGACAACGACTTTGACTCTGCAGGATCTAACTTTATGGGTACATTTATGGGTGCCTCGAACCTTAGTTATTAATGTACACCAAATTTGTGGCTAGCGCGTTCTTTGCTACAACCGTTTCTTATAGCTCCATAAGGCATGGCACATGCACCAAGATTCATGTATTCTCGCTAAATCATTTATTATCACCTCACTTAAGCGGACCACTTTTGGTTTATGTTTCTGGGTGTCAAGTTGGGTAGTGAGGTAGCAGTGTGGTTGGCTTGGTCATGCGACCACTCAAAGTCGTGACGCGCGCCATGCTGAGTATCATCTGCCCTCACACATACGTGCCACACAAGTACCAGCAAAGCAATTGCCATGGCTAGCTGCCGCAACCGACGCTTTGCCGGCACGTACGTCGCGGAGTTGGTAGAAGTTCAAGGGTGGTACACGTCACTGCAGATTTGGTGTCACATTACCACAACTTCCGTTATCATTTCTGTTCGCAACTTCATAAAACTCTCCATGTGCTGACAGCACAGGTTCAAAAAACAAACATGGCTACGCTTAACAAAGTCAACGCGGCACTTTCACTTAGCGCTGTGCTGAAGTTTCTTGATTCTGGCATCGGATCACGTTGCTTCGTACAAAGGAGACCCACAACAGGCTTGTTATAGCCTCGAAATCGGACGGCACCACCCATTTAAATCTATTGCTAGATGCAGATTACACAGGCTGTTCATTGAATATGCTATTTGGCATAGATCAAAGTTGTAAACGGGACCTTGTTTGTGCTGTTAGTACTTAAGATTTCTTTCTGCAAGATTTTCAAAATAGTCTCAGTATTCATTTGTTTTTCCGTCATATAATCAATTTTTGTATGTATAAAACGCAAGTGAACGTGTAGTGTTTACTGGTACATACTATTTTTTCTCTCTCTTGCGTTCAAATAGCAAAAGGGTTTTTCAAACGAGTGAGAGGAAGCCATATGCAGTCACCTAAAAAGTTGGTTTGTTCATTTGTTTGTCTGTTTGTTTGTTTGTTTGTTTGCGTTGGCAAAACATTGAATGAGGTGGCTATCTTATAGAAAGACAGAAAATAACTTGCTTCTGATGCATTTTCACGTAGCGGAGTTCAGTGACAAACTGTTTTTATTTACGTTTTCGGAGATGAAAGCTGTCATGAGAAGCTTACGTGAGATCATTATATATCACGGGAGTCTAAAAAACAAAGAGAATGTAACATATTCGTACATACCACGCCCGTCCTCCTTCTTTTTATAGGTTGAGAATAGGCGTGAAAGACGTCGTTTTCTTGAATGACTTCGACTCGATAAAAGATTTGCTGACCAGAAAAGAAGTTCTAAACCGTACCGACAACTTCCTTCTTGATCGAACCGGCGTTAAAGGTGAGTGTACAGAGGCTGGAGTATGTGGTCACTATGAAGTGTGGGACGGTGGAAAAAAAATTTATTTAATAGCGAAAGACGAACGAATTTGCGTCGATATAACTTGTTGTTGGGCTAGTTGGTTATTCATCATATAAGAATAATAGCGGTACCTTGACTCCCGCAAACACTAACACAAACACTCTCTCATCGACCCGAGTATCATGTCATGTGCGTTACTCGGGTGGATTAGTGTTTATGTGTGTGCGGGAGTCAAGGTTGCACTAATTATCTGACAATGTTACTTTGCGCCGGTGAGCGAATGAAATAAGTGAGTCATTTTTCATAGATGTTATACTGGCAGTGCGGTATTAGTTCAAGAAGATGAGCTCCGAAACAGTTTGTTTTCATTTGGGTACTGCGTTTCATCTTCAAACTTTATTTATTTGAAGAACAGATGTGATTACATTTACTAATGTTCAATCTCATATGTCAGCACTGCCAACCGTTTGCTATTTTATCAAAATTGGTCTGCAGCACAGGTGGTGCGTACGAGGGGCAGGACGGTGGACACCCGAATGCCTAGTGGCCTAAGAGTCACCTTAACTCGTGTTTTTTGTTAAATTCTCTGTAGACAACACATGGGGCCTGCAAATACTTGGGCGGGGGTCTTATGTAATCTACAATATCGTTATTATATACGAGGAACAACTGTGGACCCACAATGCAGCACAAGAACCCTCATGTAGATAGCGTTATGCGTGATGAGCTACAGGCATTAAGGACTACGCACTGTGTGTACGACCGTTTAGATAGATGTGATTGCAGTCTTGAATTCTGTTATGTACGTTTAAATATGTTGACTCAATATTTAGAAAGTGATGGCAACTGTGCCAAACGCCTTCTTGAAGTCGAGGGATAGTGCAACTACATGTCTGTACTTTTGTAGGGAGTTACCCAAATATTGTTGCAATTAGGTAATCTAATTTAAAAAAAAATATGTTGGGTTTTATGTACCGAAACCACGATATGGTTATGACAGACGCCGTAATGGAGGGCTTTAGAAATTTTGACCATCTGGCATTCTCGCACTGACATCCCAAAGTACACGGAGCTCAGAATACGACCGCCGCGGCTGGGATCGAACCTGCAACCTTCGAGTCAGCACAGCCGAACACCATAACCACTGATCCACCGTGGCGGACACTGCAATTAATCTGATTGAGTATTGCATACGTGACCGTTAAGAAAACTTTCACCCAAAGTTAAAAAAACTGTGGTGTGAGGCAGTGAGAAATCTTTTTGATTAAATTTGTTGAGTTATAATATGTATTTTTTTAAATCTGGCGAGATCGTGATCTGCAACCTCTCACCCGTTTTTTTTTTTTTGGTCCTGATTTGAGGATTCACTTAAGAGCCGTCATTTTCTAGTCCAACGCAATCTTGAAAAAAAATTTATATTGCTGAACTAGTATACAAAAGAAGATAATACACTCGTAAAATTATTTTTCATACTGAACTTATTTTACAGGTGTTGTGTCACTCAACGGTGAAGCATGGCAAGACAATCGTAGATTCTGCCTTCACGTACTTCGTGACGTTGGATTTGGGAGAAAACCGATGGAAGAACACATAAAGGTAATTATAATTTGCAAGTAAACTGATACGTGAATAAAATACAAATTTACAGGAGATGATATACACGGAAACGATCGCGAATGTGCGCTTATAATTTTTTTCTTTCGTTCCCGCTGTAGAAAAATAACTAAAACTAGAAAAAACAGCAATGGCATATAGATGACTTAGAAGCTATTGAAGCAGCTCGCTTGAGATGCGGCACCGGTGTATCAGGCTGCTGTCCTCCTTTGTGATTGTGCAAATCTAAAACCAATCGACCACCATTTTAAGAAGCGCCAAGAAAACTTCATTCCTGGGCCTGCAATGGGCTCATGGCATAGCTCAACTGTCTGTCTGAAGGGTAGATAGACAGTTGAATAAGATAAAATCTCTTGAAGTATCCCCCCTTTTCCCCCTTTTCCACCCAGAGAGAAAAAATCAAGCAAAATGAAGATTTATTTACTGCTTTATAATGGTAGTTAAAAAGTAATCTAGACGTCGTAAACTATATTGAAACTCTGCGAAGCGAAACCTTTTTCTTCGATCCTATATATACGGACTATTTCATGGAGCAAGAGCCAAGTTTAAAAAAAATAGTGGTTAGCCACGGGATGAAACAAATGAAGTACGGTTTGCTGTCATTGGCGTTCCTTACGGTAATTTATATGCTGCGCTCAAGTGGTTGATTATTTGAGGCTAATCATGTAATATTTTGAAATGCACTTTAGGGCCAAGTGCGTTTAGTTCCACGTGTGTGTGTGTGTTATAACATTTCAACGCCGGCAAAAACGGGTTTTATTCTTTTTCTTTCTCTTCCACGAGTTTCCCGCCAAAGTGGTTCTTCATCGTCTTTGGGTCGCTACACTCTCCCTGGCTTTGTTTTGCCCCGACCCTTGCTATAGGGAATCACATTGCTGGTGGCAGCTATTTCCATGACACCATCTTCCATTATCTAGCCGATGGTATTAAGTATTCCGTCTTTTATAACAGTTTTGTCCTTCTTAAATGGTCCCAATAATTTTGCATTATGACTGCCATAGCCTTCCCGTATGAGAACTAGATTACCTAGAGTACTTAGGTACTCTAATTAAACTACCTAGCGGATCTTGTTATGACCCCCGTCAAATGCTCGTTTAAGCGACTCCCCTGTTTTATTTGGTTCTCTACAATCTTCTTGGTTTCCTCAAGTTGTAGTTTTGTCTTGATTCTCGGTGTGTCATCTGCAGGCACGTACGCCGGTTCACCGAAGGTGGCATACTGACTACTGCATCTCAAAAGCACTTGATGAAATCTATTTTGATGCGACTCTGTTGCTTGTTAGGCAACATTTCCACCCTCCTGGGAATCCCAGGTACATGCTTATATGTTACATTATGTATCGTATGACCCGTTTTGCGATCCAGTTGGTTGACGGATGGTATGGGGCTGTAAACTTTAAAGTGGTGTTCTTTTGGTCTGGCCACTTTGCAAGTTCTTGGCTACTGAACGCCGAGGCATTGTCATACACAATGCATTTCCGTCCCTTAAGAACGTTACTGTTCAGTAGTGATATGACGACTTTCGCATTCTCCCTTCCTGGCTTTTCCGCAACGATACTTGAGCATTCTTCAATGCACGGAAAGATTGAGTTTTCCTCACATCTTCGCTTTTTTTTCTCTCTAACTCATCGAAGCCAACATGAACGGTCTCAAATGGCACGCTTGCATGAAGTGTCAACATCATAGTGTCCATTTTCTGCTGGCATTTGACTTTATTGAGTTGACAGTCATGGCAGGAGCGGCTCAAAGACGACGAACAACTGATTTGGAGTGGAAATAAAGGAAGAGAAACAAGAAGAAAACCTTCTGTCTCTGTCAGTTTTGGAATGTTATATGTGTTTTATATGTGTGGAATGTTATACATGAGTAGCCGCATGCCTGTTGCATTCCCCGGCATCCCGATTCGTATATGCCTGTTTTGCTGCAAGCCCAAGAAGAAGTTATGTCATGTCCTGGCGAGCGGCCTTCTGCGAAGGCTGAGTGAGCACTGGGAGATTTAGTCTAAGTGTCGGGCGAATCTAAACAATAGAGGTTGTTAGACCAATTACAGTTTGTTTTGCTAGATGAACTGATGTCGATAAATTGATATATGGGGTTTAACGTCCCAAAACCACCATATGATTACAAGAGACGCAATAGTGGAGGGCTCCAGAAACTTCGACCGCCTGGGGTTCTTTAACGTGCACCCAAATCTGAGCACACAGGCCTCAGAATTTTCGCCTCCATCGAAAATGCAGCCGCTGCAGCCGGGATTCGATCCTGCGACCTGCGGGTCAGCAGCCAAGTACCTCAGCCACTAGACCACCGCGGCGGGGCCTGATGTCGATGAATTCTCCAGGAAGTGGCCAGGGGTGGCCTCCACCTAAGCCGGCCTTTTTTTCACCTGATCAAATGCCACTTGAAGCGTTCTTTCGTGGTGGTGTAAACAGTATTCCTGTAGCTCTAGTGCCCCTGCATGGAGGATCCATTCGGCTTACTAACCCGAAAGCGGTGCAAGCTGAGCTCCAGTCCGCCACGTGCCAGTATACCTTCACATTAATGATGTTCGGCAGTTTGGCAAAGGTGGAAGATAGATCGCCTAACCAACCTTGTATGCATGATCTTCTGAAACGCTCGACATTTGGATCGATGAAAGTGAATGCTTTCATACCATCACATCTTACGTGCAGCGAAGGGATTGCTCGCGGCGTCGATAGTAGCTTAAGCCCAGAAGAGACACTAGAGAAGCTTTCCGCCGCTGTTGCGATAGCTATATACCGGGGCAACAGAACAGTCGATAAACAACGGGTACCCACTGAGTCGGTGATAGCCACATTTGCTGGTATGTCATGCTCTTTGGAAATCAAAGTGTGGCCTTTGATTTTTAGTGTAGACCCGCTTGCCTCACGTCCATTACAATGTAGCAACTGCTGGCGCTATGGCCATAGTATGGGAGGCTGCAAATCGGCTTTGCGTTGTTGGTCTTGTGGTGAGGGTCACACCCCGGACGACTGCTCTGCTCAAGTCCTCAAGTGCTGCCTGTGTGGAGATACACACAATGCTGATAACCCTACATGCCCAGCTAGAAACCAAGAGATACAAGTATTAGAGATAATGGACAAAAGGCGATGCTCATGCAGGGAGGCTATTTCAGCGATAAAAGAAAGAGAACATGATTGTGCTAGCGTAACTGCACGTCACCAAGCAACGATTGAGGCGAGTATTTCGCAAGTGATCGCGGAATCAGTCGAGAAAGCTATGGCGAAACTGATGGAACGTGTCGTAGAGACTGTGTCCTAATGCCTCAGTGGGTTATTGGCGTCCCAAATTGGGCTATTGCCACAAGTGGGTAATGTTCTGACAGTGGGTCACAGCCAAGGAAATGTTCCCTCACAAGTATACGGTGTCCAGATGGTGCCTTCGAATGAGGGTCCTAGTTCCAGCTTGGCTGCAAAGTGTGGTAGCTCTTCATACTCCCAAATCTACCATGCAGATTTACAGGAATGTGCAAGCATGGATGTTGACCCATGTGCACAGAAACGAAGGGGGCCTCCGCTAAAGGTTTCCGATACCTGTACTAATTATAAATCAAAGAAGGTTCTGCCTCAGGTCAAGGATACATCTAGCATTTCGGAAGAAGCTGTAGCCTCTACGGTGCTTTTGTCCCCCGAAGATAGATGAGAGTGCTGCAGCGGAACTGTCGATCCGTATTTGCTGCTTCTACCGATCTCAGCATTTTAATTTCTCTGATTCATCCACATGTTATCATATTATACGAAATTTGGTTATCTGCAGATAAAATATTTAGTCTGCGTAATTACCGATTATTTAGGTTAGATTGTTCATCCAGAGAAGGTGATTTACTCACTCTTCAGTCTAATAAATTCTGCCATAAAGCAAGGCTATGCTTTCAGCTGATGTCCACAGAAAGTGAAATATTAGCAGTAGAACTAACTCTTCTAGGAGGTCTCACATTATCTCCGGTTAACACATATCTTCTTTTAAGTGTGCTGAATACTCAGTCACTAGATTCAGTTCTTCTAAACTGTGAAGAAAGGTTGTGCTAGCTGGAGATTTCAACTCTCATCATATATTGCCACGGGAAACTGCCAACGCTCAGTGTAAGGCAGACATCGCGAACAAGAGACGAAGCTGCAACCGCAATGGGCGAGCGGGTCCTGCATACGCACAAGCTTCGACCGAGAGGCCAGTGCGCGTGAAGACGAAAACGACGGTGCTCGAGGCAGAGGTTCGCGAGGACTACGGACGTTTGGTTCTTTTTTCCAGCTGCTGTGTCATTCCTTTGGCTTGGGCACAAATTCGCCCTTATTAAAACGTGTAAATAGTACATCCTTGGTGGGAGGTTGTTATATCTGCTACACTGTAGCAGATATAACAACCTATGATATTGAATATCATGGGGATTTAGAATGGATCAGAATGGAAAACGTCTATGGAACTGGGTGGTATTGAACAATTTCACCTGTCACAACACTGGATCATTAACATTTTTACGGGGCCAGTCCTGATCAGTGCTAGATCTTACGTTTTAGGGTCCAGGACTTTCGGTGTTGTCCTGGGAGACCGTTGACACTGGTTCGATTAACGACCACATTCCCGCGATATTTGAGATACATGGGTCACAGTATAATACACAGTGTCTAGTTCGTTCGTTTATCGATCACAATAGGTTTAAAATGAATTTGGGTCAATTTTTACATCCTTGGCTGAAAATCTAAGCAGCGTAGGTAATGTTTGCAGTATTCTTGACTCTGCTCGTAAGAGGTCTGAGTTCAAGATGCAAGAAAGGAAAGACCCTACAGCTAATATTTGGTGGAATGACGACTGATCGAAGGACTACAAACGCCGGAAAGCAGCGTGGAAGCAACTCATGCATAATTAGTCTCCTAGTAACTGGAACAACTACAAGTTTATTGCAGCGAGTTTCAAGTGTACTGTCGCTAAAGCAAAAGATGGATATAACGTTCGCCATTTCGAGTTCCTTTCAAAATAAAACAATAAATGCACACTGTTCCGGTATCTCAGATCTATCAAATTAATTCCACGTCCCTTAAATGCAGAATCAATAGTGCATACTGCCTAAGAAATAGAAGATTCACTAGGCGCGATTGCCAGGGGTTTGGAGGCTAGATTTTCTACCAGCATTCATTCACCTCTTGTGGGGCAAGACACTCTCGGAAATGCTGAAGATATATTATTGTCGGTCCTCTAGTCAGTTGTAGCACGTTTATCAGCGGCAGACCAGGCCCTGATGGTATCACTAAGAAGATGATGAAAATCTTCTTTGATGTTGCTCCGAATGTGTTATTGCATACCGTAAATTGTTCTAGAAAACACTCTTGGATTCCTTCTCTGTGAAAAGTAGCTAATGTGATACCCCTGCTTAAAGATAAGAACAAGGGACTTACTTTAGACAAGATTAGACCAATTTAGTTAACATCAATTTTTGTAAAATTGATTGAGAGACTATTACATGCTCAGATAACAAAATACAAAATTTGGGACTGTTAATAAATTATTAGGTCTCTGTCAAATTGGTTTTAGAACAGGAATGTCTATCTGATGTGCTCACGTTTATTTGAAGAGCATAATCCAGCTAACACGGTGACAGAAACAGCATGCAGCATTAGTTACACTAGATATCTCTTAAGCCTACGATAGTGTCGAATACCCAATTTTACTAACAAGAATGGGATAGATTGACTTGCCTAATTTTTGTATTGCGTGGGCGACTGAGTTCTTTCTGGACAGGGAGTTTTACTGTGTACAGGGTGGGATATAAACAGAGAAATTCAGACAGACACGAGGTCTTCCCCAAGGAGCGGTTTTGTCCCCCCCGCTACTATTTATTATCTTGCTTAGCTCAATTCCCCGTCATCAAATAGTGAACACGTATATTTACGTGGATGACATAGCATTATTTGCATCTGCGGATGCCAATCCCTTTATACCCTTTTACAAGGATACTTATCTACCTTGGAAACTTGGCTGAACAGCGTTTGTTTGACTCTTAATATACAGAAATGTGCAGTTCCAGCGTTCTCTCCACAGGACAATATACATACATCACTCTCATTTCACCAAGCAGATATTCCCCAGTGCAAACACTCAAGTACCTCGAAATAATCTATGATGGAAAGCTTCACTAGCAGATGCATATCGAACATAGAGTGACCAAAGAATCACGTGCGTTAGGCCTACTCAGAAGGATTATTAACGGTCGATGGGGCTTGCGGATAGACACCTTAATAATGGTTTACCGGATGTACATACACCCTATACTGGAGTTTGGGTGCGGCCTATTTTCTGGCGTACCAGCATGGAAGAAACGTCCGTTAGTTCTAATTGAGTGTCAAGCACTTCGCTGGTGCCTGGGGTTACCCAAATTTGTAGCAAACTCTGTTTCGTATAAGGAATTACGAATTCCTTTTTTACCTGTTAGATTCAAATTATTAACAATTCAAACATTCTCAAGAGTCTATGACTCGCCGATAAAACGAGAAGAATACATATCTATCAGTGATCCAGCTTTGTTTTAATAATATCACATGGCCTCACTTACATACCCCTCAGGTAATCGTTACCTGCAGAAGCTAGTGGACTCATCCCGGACAAGGCTTAATGATATAGTGCCTATGAGCGGCGGGTTCAGTGAATTAGCCATATCTTATGACGATATATTTTCTAACAATGCGAAATTACTACTTAGTAATCATCTGAACGGCATTTTTCAAGAGCACTTCAATTAAATTGATTCTATACGGTTGTGATAGCAACTAATGCTTCGCAGTATGAAGAAAGGGCTGGGATGGCAATTCTTTCTACACAACTAAATTAGTCGTTTTCTGTTAAACTTCCTGATTACACCCAAATATTTTTGACCGAGTTTTTAGCTGTTATATTAGCCCTACGTAAAATTCCTTTAACCATAACTTCTGTGGCTATAGTTACAGATTCATTGTCGTTCTGTTCGGTACTAACTGCTTAAACAGATTCGGATATTCTAAGATAATTGCGATAACTTATTCTTCATCGTTTGCGAATGCTGCGATTGATTTGGGTGCCGGGCCACAAAGGAATTGTACTGAATGCAGTTGCGGACTCTCTGGCGCAAGCTTCTCTCACAGGTCTAGCTCTCTCCTTCCTGTTACGGCGTTTGTTGTTGTGGCAAGGTTCAAAAAGTATGCATTATCTGTGTTTACTCTCAGTATCGATTATTCACTGGCCTTTCTGCGCCTACAAGTTCCCTTGGAGCAGAAAATGGTGCGCAGCAAGACGAGCTGAAGTTGTAATAACCAGGATACGTTGTAAAATTCCAAATCTAAATTTTTATTTGCACAGAGCAGGTTTGTCAATCTCCCCTTTTTGATCCTATATTAACTAACTCGAAACTATCGAACACTTCTTGTAGAGTTGCTGACATTTTTCCTTATACAGAAAACGTAGTGTCGAAATTATAGTGCGGCAATGTGGTCTACCGGTTACGTCGGCCGTCCTGTTATCATTTAGGGCCTCTGCTCTGGAACACTCGGACAGGAATATTTTTAAAGCTGTCGAAACGTATATGCGACTCGAATAGATTTGGTAGGTGTATCAACTACTAACAATTCTTTATTCAGCCTTCCTAGTCAAAAGATCTTCAGCCTCTGGGAGATTACACGAAATAGATCAACTTAAAATTATAATCATTCATAATTACCGTTAACTTAAAAATCATATCTCACAATTATATATTAATCATAAATCCAGTATGTATGATCCGCTCGAATCATGGCCAATCCTCCAGAGTGGGTAGGTGCCAATGATCCAAGGATCATCATCATCATCATCAACAACAACAACAACAACAACAACATCATCATCATCATCATTATCATCATCATCATATGTGTGCGTGTGCTAATGTGTAGGCATGTGGGCGCGCGAATTGATGAAGAGACTAGAAAAAGAGAAACTGCTGCTGTGTTAACCAAGATGTCAGTAAACGAGAGGCTTGAAATATGAACATTCAATGAAGTGTGATTATCTGGCGTCAGATTATCTACACATTCATGTTCAAATAACGTGCACAATTAGAGGAGGCAATGACAATAAAAATACACACGTGATAAGGTGAATTTTTTAAGCTTTTTTCTGCCGTGATTTTAGCGCTCAATTTCTAGAGCTTTGTTTTTCTAAGTAAAATGGTATAATTACATCAATTCAACGGTATTTTTATTTCACTATCTGCGTAAAAAAGATAACTAGAAGATGGCTTCACCGCATAACATAACAGTAAAAGATGGCAATAAAGGGAAGGCTTGTCGAGACTCAAGTTGCAGAACATGGGGCAATGGGGCCAACCAGCCTGAAGAAACACGACTATGATGAGTAAACTTGCCATTGGATCCATGTTGCACCTATTTTTGTTCATGACGAGTTCAGTTGTCATCAATCATTTTGTTACAAAATATCATGACTATTCTGGTCAGCGTGATAGAAAGGGTCAAAGTTGCCAGCTTTAATTATGATAAGAGGTCTTGGAATTCTTTTTTTTTCGCCAAGTTACCTGTAGAATTTCGCATTCGCTTATCACGTTTTTGTACTTATTTGAATTTTTGAGCAAATATTGTTATTTTAGTCATAATGAGGTTCACCAATATGGCGTTTGTTGACAACTTTGAAGTCTTGAGTGTTTAAGTCGAACATATATCCAGGGAATCAACAGGTAGCATTAATAATGCACTGACTAACGTGCATGCAACCAAATGGAGGTCACCCTGCAGACAATGTTAAAACTAAATCTGTTTTCGTTGATAGTTGCTCATATTTTCGCTGTACAAGATAATTGAAATGACATTTGCTTCTCCCTTTTACATTTCAGTGATTTATTATATCTTTTAAAAATACATAATCAAATTTTCGCTTCTTTCAAGCTTCTTTCGTGGGGATTATTAATTAATTTGCTGATTAGCTCGGTACCATCTGGCTACTACGGAAAGGATTAAAACCTGGTTTGTTATTGCTCTCTGCTCTAGGATGAAGTGCAGTACCTCGTTGACAAAATCCAGCAGCTGCGCGGTTCGCCAGTGGACCTTCGCAAATACTTGGTCCCGAGCATGTCGAACAACATCACGTCGCTGGTGTTCGGCCAACGTTACCCATTCGAAGACCACAGGCGCAAGTTCTTGGACGAGCGGTTACGGAAGGTGGTGCAGATAATTGGGTCCGGAGGCCTATTTTCCTTCCTTCCAGCCTGGATGTTTCTCCTTTTTTCAATGCTTCCATTCACTAACGTGAGCAAAATCACTGGAATCGTCAAAGAAATGTTCGAGTACGTCTCGTAAGTACACTCGAAGTATTCGAAGAACGGCAGGCTGGGCGTATTGGTTTAGCATACTTGAAGTGTAAGGTACGGTGACGACGACAGACAGAGACAGAGTACACACACGCCACGCGCTCTCAAAGATCGTCAATGCTCAGTCGTATTTAAGTAACGCAACCTTTTCGGTGAAAAAACAAAAATGGAAGCCACGTGAGCACACTTTTCGCCGGCTTTGCTGAGGTGTGGGTGTGTGTATTCTTCCTCTGTTCGGTTTCGTCGTACTCACCTAATCATTATAGGTCACACCTGATCAATCAAATGTCAATGAGGTATATGTAGGCATGCTCAAATGATATCTAACTGCGCTACTTTCAACGACGTACTATTCACATCCTTGCTTTCTTTGCTATTGAATAAAGCCGCGAAATTCGAAAATGACCCGTGGCTAGACTGCAGCGCACACCAGGAAGCAGCGCCCTAAAACAAGATAACTGTAAAGTAACAAGTAAAGACTATGCGCTCTCTGCCTTTGCATGTGGGTACTTATTAACACAAAAGTGTTTCATGCCCACGCCCACCAAGACTTCACTTATGTATTTCCATCACGAATACGATGTTGCAGAAAAATGCTCGACCACATAAAAAAGAAAAAAAAGAAACTAGAAGAATTAGTTCACGAATTTAGAAGACGTGAAAATTAAATACGCGACCTCTCGGTGCGCGGGGACAAAAGGCGGGAGCTTCACCGACTCCGCCATTGGCGAATTTGCGGAGAGTCGTTCAGACGCGTCTTGTATATATCTCCCACTCCTTCGCTCTGTACCTACGTTCTTCGTTTGCGGCTACGGTGCAGCCGCCTAAGAGCGTAGAGGTACATGCATTGTAACACCAACTAATACCAACAGAGAACGTTGCGGTCGTTCCTTCAAAAGTTAGTGAATTAAACAGATCAAATTATACAATATTTTAGAACGCAAAAAATAGTCTGACTAACTCCAGGCAACGGTCAGCAACATGCAGTTAGTCGCATCGTAATCGCGTGTGTCGGCATATTTTTCAACTCTATAGATAAAGGTAGCTGGCGCACCCTGTATAATTTGGAGGCAACAAACAGAGGCTGTAATGGCGACGCACTCTGTGCGCTTATTTGACTCGGTGACGAAACAGTTACGTGCGTTGTCTTTCGCGTTGTATTGGTTTAAGTTACAGGCCTTATTTTTCGCGTTGTAGTGTGTGCGGCGTAGTGCCGCTTTGATATGCACCAATAGTCTGTCTCCGCCGTCTGTTCATACGAGTGTGATGGCGCCAGCTACGAGAACTGCTGCATTGAGCGCCACCTATAGACAATGGCGTCGACGGAAGAATGTAGCGGAAGTGAGTTTGGTGCTGCTATGGACACGGCAGGGGGGAGAGGGAGGCCTTCGCACGTTCACGGTTCAAGATGAGAACTCTATACCTCTCGCGTTTGTGAAGTCGAATGCATCGCGGTCCAATCGGCTGCTATACAAATGCAAGGCCGAAGTGATCATAGCTTTGCCGAAGCGGCCTACCTGGAAGACGCTGCTTGCCAACACGACGCCGCATGCCAAGTCAGATGGCCAAGGACATCCACAGGATAGTCGCAGACCCGCAAATCACGCAGCCTTCACAGTAGTGGACCACGAGTTGAAAAACGATTGAGCGAAAACCCGTTTTTCACTTGAATGGTTCGCAAACACCTGTAGTTCAAGTATGATTTGTGCGACGCGCACTACGGTGTGTCCGGAAGTAGTATCCCGGTCGCGATTTGTTGGTGATTGTGACGGAAAAGATATTGTCATGGGGTCGTGACGCGGACGAAGGAAGCAGACTGTGATTGCAAGATGAAACTGTGTATATGGTCGAACTTGTGACCCATAAACTGAATGTCAGGTTACAGCGATGCCCACTGGCAGTGATAGCGGCGAACAGAGCGTCAGCATTCAAACACTTGACATCGGACATTCTAGCGTTAACGCTAGCAGTGACGTAGGTTTCAGAATAATCTGTAATGTTCACGAAGTGGTCGTAATATTAATTGCTCTACTGCAGTCCTGAAGCTTCTAGAACACTGTAGGCGCGGTTTGCGCTGAGAATTGGTGACAATAAAATGGGGCGATAACAAAACTTGAAGAGGGAAAGTGGCAATGTGACACCTGGTATCAAAATAGGTGCACCAACATATAAGGGTGCTGCAGCCACTAAACACCCACAGACATTATACATTAATGAGAAATGACTTCTGTGAAGACACGTCCCACTTTTGTGGGTTGTCCCAATCTTTATATTAGAGAAATTAATGCATTTGTTTCTTATTTTATGTGCTTTTCTTTTTCCAGTCGCAAAAGTGAGCATCTAAACCGTCAGTTGCTGAAAATAGCACAGTTAGATGACATTTGAGCATTTGCGCACGCTTATATATGTATGCCTCATCGACATTTAATGACTAGGTAGAGTTAGAAAACTAATTAGGACTAAAAAATAGTAGTGGCTCACACAGTTCGCAGGGAACAATATTACGTGCTTCGTGTATCAATGTTCGTCTTTGTTTTTAAAATATGCTACAAGATCTTTCGGACACTGCGTATAATTGCGTTTCTTCATTACGAAGTTTGTAAAACAGGATAAAGTTGTGGCTTCACTCATTTTCAGCAAGGAAGTCAGAGAGCACAGAAGCACGCTTCACGAAAGCATCAATCGAGATTTCATTGACGGATACATAAGAAAGATGGAGGAGAACGAAAACAACCCACACTCAAACTTTAAAAGTGAGTACCCCTAGTTAAGCAAAATAAGGTTTATTAACAATACTACCAGTCTACATGTATTGATTGATAAGTGGGGTTTAACGTCCCAGACCCACCATATGATTGTGAGAGACGCCGTAGTGGAGGGCTTCGGAAATTTCGGCCATCTACCGTAGTCTATATTGAAAGAAGTGTTTCAATACCTATGTAACCTTATGGCGAAATGATGTGGGACATATTGTCACGTGGTCTTGACATTGAATAAAGCAGCAGTCGCTGTGTCTAAAACTTGCACTTTGTATTTGGGCGAACCGGCTCGGAAAACGAAAAGTCACGCTACAAAGAATACATGCTGTACACTGATGTCGGCCAACAGTGCGTCGGCCATCGTTGAATCTGCGAAGCGGTACGTACTCTTGTATATACTACATGTGCTCTCCAAGATTCCTGTGTTGTCACTGCTGGCTGCGTTAAGTTCTCAAGTAAACTCAGACTGTTCGCGTCCTGAACGTAATCTATTCAGAGAAATATATCACTAAGCTTCTCTAGAGCAATTCAGAATTAATCAGTGAACATATAAAGGTACCAGTTAATAAGAGATATCAAGAGAAAAAGGGACATAGGCTAGTCGCCTGCGGGGAAGTGCAGAAACCATATGGCCAGTAAAAACAATGTAATAGATACCAAGGGATGGAAAAGCGCTGTCTAGGTCGGCCGAGAGTCCATTAGGATCAGTTAGTTCTTTAGGTGGCATGTTAGACTGACACTATTTCAGTTGCATGGCTATGCTAGAAAATAACGCAGACATATTGTTGAAATCAGTGTGCCTTTTGTCCCTACTTATTATATCGTGTAGTAAGTTCTTTCTTAAGCAACAGAAGGACAAAAGTTCAAAGACAAGAAAGAGCAGAACACCAGCACTTACTCACAATACTCACAATTGGAAGCTTAATTGCTTGAAAAGAAGATATGTATCTAAACTTGACCTAACACCTGCTCATACGCACCATGGCCAAAGCAAAACTGCAAAAAAAGACAAAAGTTGAAAACGCATATGCCTCGCCCTCCCCCTCCCGGCATTAGCTACCTCCTCTCGTTGAGTAGCTTTACTTCTTTCGCCAATATCGCCAAGATTTATTAATTTGATTTCATTTTTATTCTTTAAAGACCCCACTAAAGCGGTATTACATAAAGAGGGAGTCTATGCATTAAAAATAAAAACCATGTTTTAATACAGTGCAAGGTAATCTTCTAAGGTGGCCGAAAATGTCGAAGGGCAGGTAATGAGCAGATGTCATTGAAAAGGCCGTTCCAGCCTGTTGCTGTACGAAAACAAGAGGAGGAAGTGACAGTGCGTGCACGTGACGCGCAGCTTTCAAGAATGAATCGGCACCAACTAGTTGGCTTTTTCATTAGGCGTGAACGTGTTTTCGTTTCGCTGCCCACAAAGTCCAATGTGCTTTTTTCTCCACAGTGGGAAACCTTTTGGGAAATGTCGTGAACTTTTTCGGAGCTGGATCCAACACAGTGCAGCTGTCGATACAGTGGCACCTCCTGAACTGCGCCGACAAAGTGGACACGGTGCAGCGCAACATTCAGAACGAGGTGGACCGCGTGGTCGGGCGTGAGAGACAGCCCTGCTGGGAGGATCACAACAGGATGCACTTCACTATGGCCACCATCTGGGAAATGCACCGATGGCGCACGGTCGCACCACTCAGCATCCCGAGGGAGTAAGTCTACTATGCATGGTCTGGTCCGTTATTCGCGAATACTGTTGCGTCGGTATCCGATGCATGTCGAGAAAAAAAATTCACAGGGCTCCTTGTGTATCCACCTAAAAAGTCTACTGGAAGGTGAAAGTAATCTTTTTCTTCTTAGTCGAAGAAGGGGCCTCGCAGGTCCGGGGCTTCGCCACCCGGGGTTTCAAAGATCACTGCCGAGCGCAGAAAACTTTTTTTAATGAGGTCGCCAGCTTTCGGTTTCGTTCGCTGCCCGATGAGAAGCGCTACAACGGCATCGTATGTCGTTACAGCAAATGACGTTCCGTCAAAATTTGTGATGTCATGAGGTCACACTTTTTGGCGATCTATCACATCATGATGATGTCTGGTATAGTGGAGTCATTTTGTGACGATTATTTTTTTTTCTCATCACTCATCCTCCGCGCCGCTGGACGGTCGCGGCCGATGGTCAAATTATCCGCCTTATGAAGCATCAGGTTTTCATTTTGGAAGTATATAACAAGAAACAAGCCATTTCCACGACGTAAAAGCTGTAGAAACTGCGGAGCAAAGCAGAGGCTCTACCTGCTTTCATTGACGCTCGGCTAATATTCGTCCGAGTCGAAGCTGTGTGTTCACATGTCTATCTCGGTGCTCGGCTTGTGCCCGAGTCTTCAGAAGCTGGGGATTACCTCACATTCATGGGCGTTTCGACTGTTCTTCTTTTTTTTTTTGTAGATCTGCTACCAGCTTCTGAAGCTGGCGGTTCACTCGTGCTTCACTGGCTCGGACAGTAGAACTGGCCCTTCGGTAACGTTGTCGTTCGCGGACAAGCGCGCTTAGGCCTTCCAAACGTCCAGCCTGCTCGGGGTCCATGGCAGGAAAAAAAAAACTTAAATTGTTATGCAGTGGCGCCCTGTCTTGACCTATTTTGGTACTTTGAGCTCGCGGTCACGGGTTCCGAGACTGCACTTCGGCGGATTTCTCACCGGCGCGCAATCTCGAAGGTTAAGGGGCGACAGTGATGAAACCACCAGACACATTAGACGCATTGCCCTCAGTTCAGTTCAGTTTCCAGAGACAGTCTCTCTCAATTGCGTTTGCACGCCTCGACGACCAGTTGCTTTCCGAAATATCAATTTTGGAATGCTGGAAAGATAGAGTTTTACGCCAGAAAGTGACTAGGGCGCTGTTGTTGTTTCTACGAGTCGTTGAACGACTAAGATACCCCTGTACGTCTGTGCGCTGCTACACCCCCTCTCTCTCTCTCATTCCTTTTTTTTACTTTTCTGTCTCACGTTCCCCAGTTCACGCTAGCAAACCGGATATTTATTTCGCGGTTAACATGATTACTTTTCCGCATTTCACTTTTTCTCCCTCTATGAGCATGGCGCCAAGCGACGACTTGAGACGACAGCTCAGGTGTCTAAAGTGCTCGTATTCTTGTGCATTTACTTTAATTTCTCGGTAAATAGGGCACTGCTGTTGATAATATTGTCATTCACATTTTGAGCTTTCCCTCTGACGTAATTTTTGATTTTTTTTGCTTTATTGTCCCTTTTAAAGACGATTCATATCATGAAATATGACCGAAGTCCTCACAGTGCTTAAGAACTTATAAGGTTTTTACTTATGGAAGAACAGCAGAAGAATCTATAGCTTTTGGTACGCCACAAGAAATGTAGAATGAGTGCAAGTGCGTGTGTTTATATCCTGCGCATTTTTTTTTTTCAGGACTGCTGAAGACGTCGAGTACAAAGATTACTTCATTCCAAAGGGAACTGTGATACTTTCAAATCTTTCGGCTGTTCACTTCAACCCCGCATTTTGGGAAAGTCCTGAGGTGTTCGACCCGTACAGATTCCTAAAAAAGGACGGCTCTGGACTGATAGCCAAGCCAGATCAGCTTATTCCTTTCTCTATCGGTAAGTGAAGTTCTCATATTTTTGACTGTTTCTATTGCCAGCACATAGTTAATTATAATTGATGAGGTTTAAAGTCCGAAAATCAAGATATGATCATGAAAGACACCATGGTGGGGGTTCCGTAAATTTCGTTAACCTAGGGTTCTTTAACGTGCACTTAAATCTACGCACACAGCCCTAAAACGTTTTTGTCTCCATTTGAAACGCGGTCGCCGCAGCCGGGATTTAGTCCCACGGCTTGGAGGGCAGCAGGCGAGTACTATAACCAATATACCACCACGGCTGGCGTTGAATGCATAGTATAACTTTTAAATATATACACGTATCGTAACTGAACCAAATAAGCTGTGGGTACCACGCACTAGAAATATTTCTTCTTGAAGTACCGAACGTTTTTTAGGCGCTTGGATCATTTGCTCTGTGATGTGATAATGTGTTTATTCTGTTCAAGAGAACACCGCTAGATGCTCATCGATGAAAATTCGAACATCTCGAAAGCCGTAATTTTATTTAGGAATGCAACGCTGTCTACTCACACTAACCTCCTTTTTCATGGCATTGCGCAGTCTCGTAATGTCTTTGCACTCCGTGTCGGGGCGTCTATTTTCAGCATTTTTTTCACCTTCTATATTCTTGCGTTTATGCTCGAGACCCCCCCCACACCCCCAAAAAACAAACAAACAAACAAAAAAACAAAACATGAGGCTTTTCCACACCGTATATAACTATAGGCCAATCGAGTTCTTCTAAACCCGGATTATCTTGCTCAGCAACTATGCCAGTCATCAGATAAGTCGATGTACATAAATGTACGCAGTTTCTCAAATGAACTGTCAGTTTTAGTATAGAGAAGTAGTGGTTTGAATTTTCGTTAATGTTTTAACGCACTTACAAGAATCATGCGATCGCTCTCTCCATTCCTTTCCTTTTGTCACGCTTTTTCGTTCACATTTTCGAACACTGCTCGAATATACTCAATTTTAGTTAGTTATCTAGTTAGTTATTTATATTTGCATGTAGACATTTGTGATGAAATGACAGAAGATTCTGCCATTACATGGAAAGTTCTCTTCCATATCATAGCGTTTCTCTAATACGCAGGTAGAAGAATGTGTCCTGGTGAAACCCTCGCTACCATAGAGATCTTCCTCTACCTAACAACGCTGCTTCAAAATTTCACCGTGATGCCGTTGGAGGGAAAAAGAGTTCATTTGCAGCCAGCTATGGTTGCGCTAAATGTACCCGCACCGCAACAGCTCAAGTTTGTGCATCGCTGGTAGTGTAATCACCACTCTTCAACACGATATCGCTATTCATCACGGCAATACTTTAATTCATGACGTTTTGCAAATAAATCTATTGACGCGCGTAATGTGTTTGTTTAAAAAATTTTCGAAAACCTATACCAAGAAAGCTCCTAAGGAAGGCTACAATTCAACATGCTGAAGGCAAGGACAGTGCCCAAGATCCCGGCAAGAAACGAAGAGTACGTGACTGACAGCCAAATTTCGGAGCCTGTCACCTTATTTTCATCCAGTCTACGCCACAGCAGAAGGAAGGCCATTCCATTCCCAATGATTTCCAGTTGAAGCGCGTCCTGTACGAGCTGACTGTATTTTGTCTTTGCAAACTTCTTGATTTCAGGTGATGGCTGAAATCCAGAAGTTCGCAAAGACAAAATCTCTCCCATCCCTCTCCCATGCGCAGGGTAGCGAACCGGCTGCCTATAGGCTGGTTAACCTCCCCACCTTTCCTTTCCCTCTATTTGCCTTCCTTCCTTCTTGATTTCAGCCCTCCATGTGACTACATTTCTGACCTTTGGTAACCATTCGTGTTGTTCTTACTGCGACGTGACCTGATTCTTTTCACATATATCTAGGTATATATCTAGACTAATCACTAAGTAGATAATTATTTTGAAAAAACGAAATTCATCAAGAAATAAGGATGGGCCGTACCACGTGTGATGGGCATTTCTAAATCGCGGCAGTTGATTTGTCACTTTCCCTTAGGCAAAAAATATGTAGTCATTGTTTATTGCCCGTGATAGCATGTGCAATGAAATAATAGATTGAGTACCACGCAGCGTCGCATAGAACGAAAAATTACAGGCACATTGTTACGAGATATTGATCGATTGATATGTGGGGTTTATTGTCCGAAAACCATCATATGACTATGAGAGACGCTGTAGTGGAGCGCTCCAAAAATTTCAACCACTTGGGCTCTTTAACGTGCACTCAAGTCTGAGCACACTTTTTATGAGATATAAAGATGACAAAGGGGGTTAGAAAACAAAGAGGCGCAGCCTTGAGAGTATTGCCTCGCCGTCATGGCCCCGTGACAATATACTGAAATAAGGAACGCGCGTGGCAATATGCGAAAGAAGTGAACCTGCGTCCCTTTCTTACAGGCAATGGCACGAACACCGGATGCAAACGCTGCTTGTGGCCAATACAGAGGTGCGACCCCTCTGCTATGAATCACTCTTACAAACATCTAGATAAATGTATCATAACAAGGAACACTTTTTTTTAATGTGAATACCTTAGATACATCAGCAAGCGCGTAATGTGACCCTTGGCATCTTCGGCGTCAATACAAGTGATACAAAAGGTCTTCAAGTGATGGCGTCATCATGACGTGCCAAGTTACCACGAGATCGTCGCATACTCAAAAGTAGGCCGATACCAGAGACACTGCTATACCGCGGGAGGTGCAGAGCGGTTACGACCGGGGAGGCAGTGAGAAACCACGTGTGGTGCGAAAAGGTATCGAGAGGAAAGGGGGGGGGGGGTTCAATATAATAGACTATCGACTATGGAAACAAAACGATAATAGCCGCCTTCGGTTCGCCTTAAGCCCTAACCACGCGTAGAGTTATTCAATCATACGAGTTGCCAAACTCGCCATCGGCTTCATGTATCGAGATATGGGCACGTCATTGGCCCAGATTTTGGGAGTGTGCGAATTGTCACGTCACCTGTTGTTCAGCACACTAACCTATAATTGCATTATTTTGTGTTTTGCATTGCCACTCCACCCTTAAACTGGAGTCAGAAATTGGTCACTGATGTGCCGCTATTATTCCCCATGTAGATAATAAATATGCACAAAACCATTTACTGACGAAATATTGACCCTACATTTCGCCAAGCCATACTTTGAAACCCCGAAGACAATCGGGCCAGTTATCACTAAAAAAAGGGGGGGGGCAGCGTGGGGGGGGGTTGAGATAGTCGCCTGCTAAATACAATGCCCACGGTCTTTTTTTTCCTTATTTTTTATCACTCTGCTTTCCGATTGCACTTGATATCACTGCAGTCACTTTCGTAAAAAGAAGATAAACAAACAAGACGACTCATAGGACCTTATCAGCGCTTGGGCACTTTGAAGGTATCTATGATAAAGCGCAGACAATGATGAAATAGAGAAAAATATTTGCAACAGATTGTGCGTGGCTAACGCGGTGATGAAGCGGTGAAGGGAGGTATCAGATGGTGACAGAGAGGGTAGTTTCTGTTCCTGGACTGCATCGGGAACCTGCCAGCACAACAGTTTGCGTTACAAGATCCTGTTAGCTCTGCAAGCGCGAACATGCCTCGATAGAAATGCCTTCCCGACAACGTGCTCATTGTTACGAAATTTCTTTCTGTTCGATCTCTGACGCAGCGACAGCGCGATAAAAGCAGATTGTACCGAGCGAAAGCAGCCTTATGCCGTGACTAACGGGCAGATAGAGGGTCAGACGTCTGCTTATACCTTCTTCGGTTCATGACAACTGTGGTTGCGTCTCTATTCTCGCGCAAATATCTTTCAGTGCTTTGGGGAGCCTTCCAGCTGCCACGTGCATCAACCGCCTACAATGGATTCTCTTGGTGAAATCATATCCAATGTGCAGGTAAATGTATGTATGTATGTATGTATGTATGTATGTATGTATGTATGTATGTATGTATGTATGTATGTATGTATGTATGTATGTATGTATGTATGTATGTATGTATGTATGTATGTATGTATGTATGTATGTATGTATGTTATGTATGTACGTACGTACGTACGTACGTACGTACGTATGTATGTATGTATGTATGTATGTATGTATGTATGTATGTATGTATGTATGTATGTATGTATTTATGGTCAGTACCTTACACCTGCAATGCAATATGCATAATGTATATTGTAACACACAACGAAAGGGTGCAGTTCAATTAAACCAAGTGGTTGGGGCGAACTTGTGCCCAAGAGACAGACAACTCAAGGAGTCTATGTGGCCGCTCCAATCAAGTCTGTTCGAAATCATCCACCTTGTCTTCTCTTTCCTTTTTCTTGAGTCTCTCGTGCGGCTAGTTGTATGGCTCGTGCTAGCACGTGCTACTTGCTGAATTGGCGATTCTAAGTACTCCGTCAACTATCGGGAGGGCGTGACAGGTCACTTTAAAATCAGCACAACGCTACGAGGCAGACAAATTATGCCGTACGAGGCTTCCATGTCGTGATTATCATGCTTGTGCCTGGAATCCGTGTTCGTCGTGCATTCACGTCACGTAATACCAAATTTGATATATGTGAAGCGAGCGAAACGGCGGCAAGCACATCATGAGCGTGGTATGTATTCATGTTCTTAAATGCCACGTATGTCATGATTATAATGTTTGAACCAGTCATATACCTTCGACATCCATTCCCGTCCCGTAACACCAAATTTCGTATACGAGAAGCTAGCGAAACGACCACGAGTGCACTATGAGCGTAGCATGTAGTTATGTTTTACATGACACGCGTCATGATTATCATATTTGGACGTGTCATTTACCTTAATCGTCCGTTCACGTCACGTCATCCCAAATTTCGTGTATGTGAAGCTAGCGAAACGGCCGCGAGCGCGTCATGAGCGTGGCATGTGGTCATGTTCTTACAAGACACGAATGTCATGGTTTGAACGTTAGGGCCTGTAACTTGTGTTCACCATACAGTCATGTCATACTATACTAGTTTTGCAATATGCCATGTCAACAAAACCAACGCTAAAGTACCAAGACCATGACATGTAAATCATGACATTCATGACATACATGTGATTATATTGATTATCTTTATGTAATGACTAGTCACTTACGCTCTTCATACAGTCATGTTATACCATAGCAATTTTGGTATAGATCCCATTATCGAAACGGCCCGGAGAGCTAAAGGTCGTAAGCGGCTACATACATACATACATACATACATACATACATACATACATACATACATACATACATACATACATACATACATACATACATACATACATACATACATACATACATACATACATACATACATACATACATACATACATACATACATACATACATACATACATAGATAGATAGATAGATAGATAGATAGATAGATAGATAGATAGATAGATAGATAGATAGATAGATAGATAGATAGATAGATAGATAGATAGATAGATAGATAGATAGATAGATAGATAGATAGATATGGTCAAAGTCGGGGAAGTTGGCTAGGAAATGCTTCGCATTTTAAAAATGTAAATGTAGCTGATGCCTTCCGGGCCATGGGCGGTGGTGTTTCGTCCGGGTCCTAGGAGTCATCTTCCCATTACGCGGTCTTTCGTGGCGTACTTTGAATTTGCACCATGGCATGTCCACACAAGGGACGACACGCAGGGCATTCTTCCACCGCAAGAGCTCACGTTCAAGGTCTTTTAGCTCTTCCAGACTAATTGTGGGCAGTACACGATAGACCATGGGAGCTTTTTCTAGCCGGCATGTGGTCCATCGTAGTTGTGTGGACAACGCCTCGAAAAACAGTGGTAGCAAGGTTCCATGCGAAGACCACCATGTGCACCAGTGGGCGCAGCCAGGCTGGTGGTGATGATATGTACGACTTCCAGTTTTTGTGCACCAATTTTCATCATTCTGCGTGCGTTCGTCTTGGCCTTCGTTTCTGCACGCATTCCAGGGCTAAAAAAGGCATTCGCAAAAATGTCGCTTGGTCCTTTAAGGAATGTATTGAGTGGTTAATTTTATGAGGACGGTCTTGCGAAATGCACAAGATGGAGGAGCAAAACGTGACTGGGAGCGATGATCACTACGTCATCTCAGTTCTTAGCTCGGTACCACTCGATATCTAGCAGAAAGCTTATTACTTTCCGATTACTCGAATATATGTAACGTTATGTTTAAAACGGTTGTGTTTACGGCTGCATTAAAGTTTATGAGAACTGCGAGCACATCAAGACAGAGAAGAAAAGAATATCAGAAAGGTAGGGAGGTTAAGTAGACTAAGTCCAGTTTGCTACCCTACTCGGGGAAGAAGGGAATGGGGAGAAGAATAGAGAGGGGGGGAATACACATTGCACATAACACACACACCGCACACACAGTTAGGGACACATGCTAGCAGCCTTATATAGGAGCCCTATGATTACTACATTTTGATGTGCTCGTGCATGCCCTTCTACAATTCTTGAGGGCAACATCATTCTACGAGCACATCAAAAAGTAGGCAGCATAGGGCTCCTATATAAGACTGTCAACATGTGTCCCTCGGCATTACAACTAACCACGTGCTCGTAGGACTAGTCTTACTTGCTTATTCAAAGCTAATTCATTTTTGAAGCTAGCTATCCTGTACAGCTACGGATCCGGTATTTCACACCGGATTCCTTCAACATTGCGAACATTACTAGAGCACACTTGCCGAGTTTCTCGGAAAACATCTCAAACTGATTTGAAGTTTATCCTGTATTAACTTTCTGGCATGTCTCGCCGATAATATCATGTTGTCGTAGAAGTCACCTGTCATAACACATTGTGAGCACTCATGAACACCAACAAAATGTGCGCAATTTTGGCTAACATCAGGATAATTCAGTGCTGCTAATGATGAAGCATTGCACAATAGACACAATAAGAATAAAAGAGAGCCGAGCTATAGTTGAGGAGTATTAATCCTGAAACGCCGGCCACGCAAACAAAGGCACAAAAAAGAATGCAAGACACCACAGACACCGAAATCAGAAGTGGTGTCTTTACTACTTCCTGGTGTCTTCGTTTGCACTTCCTCCCTGTTAGAACAGACACATTTACACACACACATAAATAGGACGCAAACACAAACACCGGACAGTAAAACGATTGCAGTCCAGCATTGCCTTAGCGTCTCATTTATGTCAGAATCAGAATACACTTAATTTTCTACATATTTGTTGGAGGTCCCTCAAGCAAAAAGCAGCGCAAACAGCTTGAGAACCAACAGTATGATTCTGTGAGAGAAATGTGCCTTTTGTGCGCTGCCCCACCACTATCATGGCTCAGCAATTAGCGCATTAGTACATACATTGAAGCAGGTCTGCTAGTTAATAACATCGCTTGTTTCTCTTCTTGAAAATTTTTACTCATTTTTTGTTCTTCGAATTTCTTGATCGCCAATGGTTAGGAAAATGTCACAAACGACTCACTAAAGACTTACTTTGCTTCTTTTTCAGGAGGCTTCAGGAGATACAACAACACTCATCCTGGCGATGTTAGTGTCTTTTATACTGCTGATTTCAAGTGCTCTATGGTTGCGCAGTGACCGTGCGCCTAGAGGTACCAAACTTCCACCAGGACCACTTGGACTTCCACTTATTGGTAACATACGATTAAGCACGAACATATTTAGCCCCGACAATCTCAAGAAATGGACAGAAACATATGGTCCTGTCTTTCGGTAAGTTTTCGCTAATTTAGATTTTTCTTCTTTTTATACCCTCCTCTTTATAGCATCGCAATAAGCATTGTACTATTGTGAGCAATCTGATCGGGAATACGAAAGTGCGTCTCAAACCGTAGTTGCATTGATATTCAGAGGGCACTGGTAAAATAAAGTGAATATAGGGAACACTCTTCCGCGAACTGCTGTCACTTCTACCACGCGTCTGCTTTCAAGACATGCCGGACACCCGAAACCGATAACGGCTTGATGTTGTTCTCAGAAAGTAAGAACACGGATACATCAAAAAGACTCACCACAACCAAAACACTCGAATGCCTTTCAGGGTATATTTCTCATTATCGCTGTGCCCGTCATTGCGAGCTGTCGTCTAAGCGTTCATGCGTAGCAAAAGAAAGTACTGCATCTTCATTTCCGTTTAACTGCGTCATGATTTTCTGTGTGGCACCCACACAAAAGCGGATGGAAGAGCCGATTAACATCGCTATGTTTGCGTATAGCTGTATAATTCAGGCTGCCACAGCTCTGCAGCGTTTTACAGTCATAATCATCTTTTGAGCTTGGGACTATCTGGGGCTACGGTTGCCTTTCGCACTCGCTGTGCCAAACCCAACAGCCCACTCGTGAGGTACTGATGCCGAATACAGACACACAAACTTTCATTTATCTTTTACAAAATACCTCCTAAAAACCACAACAACAAATTTCTTTGATGTGTACGACTTTCGTAGCGCAACTTACCAGGGCCCACATTGTCCGGCAGACGCGACTAATTAGGACAGACTCGTAGATTGGTCGTGGCAGCTGTGACTCTCCAAACTGGGCTTGACCATGCCCGACGAGCCACAACATTAAGTGGTGCCCTGGACGAGGTGTTTTAGCCACAGTAATGACGGAGAGTTGTTTTTATTAAAGTCATTCCTTTCTTTCCCCTCCTTATTATTGCGAAGAGCCGGTGACATCCGATCGGCCACTGTTTCCTGTCAACACTTGCGAGGCACCATTGCCAACGCAAAGCGCTCAATGCGACACCTTCCAATCTCATCTAGATTCGTCTACCTCTTGTGAACAAGGCTCCCGTTCTGGTTGCCGAAACTTCTTATTGCATATTTTATTCTCCTGTGGTCGGCGTCTTCGTCTTTTTATTCAATGATTCTTCCCGACCAGATGGGCATCCATCGAAGCCTTCATTTCACCTTCCAATGTGCTTCTACCAGTGGGTGCTGTGAATCCCCCACGTTGGGTTCCAGTATATTTGCATCGCGTTCAAGTATTTTCTTTCGTATTGCTCACGATGGTTCATGTTAGCTCGATACTGCTATGATATGTAGTTGAGAGTTAGGTATATTAAGCTCTTCTGCACTTTTTAGGCACATTTCTGCCACATGAAAACCTATTCAATGAAGGAAATTTGGGGGGCTCCTTTTTTGTTTGTTTGATGCAACCTTTATGAAAAGTTAGAGCATTTCTGTTTACAGTGTCCGTGCCCAAATTACGTAGCGGACCAATTATATTATTTTGTGCCACTTCGTTCACTCATTTGTTTACCTTGCAGTGGTGACCTGATGGTAATACAAACGGTAATTTATACCAATCTACGTGCCATAAGCACGATATGATTATGAGGCACGCCGTATTGGAGGACTTCCGATTCATTTTACCAGCTTAGGGTTTCTTAACATGCTCTGAAATCTATGCGCACGGAAGTTTCCGCAATCTGCACCCACCGAAATACAGCCACAATGGCCGAGAATCAAACCCATGCGCTCGAGTTAAATGGCTGAATACTACGCTCCAAAAAATAATAAGTGAATAAATTAAGCTGTCCTTTTAACCTGTTTTTTTTTTTTTGCTACACGAGTGTGAGTCTCACACATAATAACGTTGTCACACTATGCACTGTTGACGAGGGTTAAACCACGTTGAAATGAATCTTTTCAAGAGTGATTGACTCCCTTCTGCATCTTGCGTAAGGAGCCACACAGGGTAAAAGAAAAAGTTCGATGCGAATCAGGCCCGATCACGACCGAAGGTTACTGTGTGACACCGGCATTAAACTTTCTTTAATAATTTTTGAAGCTTAACGTCCCGAAATCACTATATATGATTATAGGAGACGCCGTGGTGGGGGGTCCCAAAAATTTCGACCGACAGGGGTTCTTCAACACGCTCCTAAATATAAGTACACGGGCCTCAAGCATTTTTGCCTCTATCAAAAATGCGGCCACCGCGGCCGTGATTCGAACCCGCGACCTGCGAGTAAGCCGTCGAGTCCCCTAACCACTAGATCACCTATTAAATTTTCCCTAGAGAGAGGTGCGTTACTCTCTTGATCATGCTTCCCATGTCTCCATAAAGGAGAGTCAACGTGACCCTAAAGATAGTTACACATGCGAGAGAGAAATGCGTAGCAAAGAAGAGACGAATGACATTTCCTTTTCATAGAGTTTGGCACTGAGCTACCACGGCGGGTTTATCGCAAATAATATCTAAAAAATTTCATTAGAGAGCAATTAGTGGAGCTCATTTACTGCTTGAATGCATGCTGCATTCGCCAGTGTACATGCGGTGTTCCGGACAAGGGACGCAAACAAAAAAGGGTTATGATGTGGCCCCCAAACTCTCTTTGTTTCTACAAAAAAAAAAAAAAGACTACAATAAATGCTGTAGGCCCGTGTGCTGAGACTTGGGGGCACGTTAAAGAAACCCAGGTGGTCGAAATTTCTGAAGCCTTCCACTATGGTGTCTTTCATAATCATATGGTGGTTTCGGGACGTTACACTCCACATATCAATCAATGAATATTTCTACAATAAATGTTCACATCTTTCTCTCTGACTGATTATTACCTGTTGGCATCCTCACTAACGTAGCCGAGCTTTCATCGCAGTTTCTGTGTCTTCTAGACTGAAAATCGGCTTCAGTAACGTTGTCGTCCTGAACGATTTCGAATCCATAAGCGAAGTGCTGTCCATGAAGGAACTGTTGTACCGGACCGGTAATCTCACTGTCGACGAAGCGGGATTTCGAGGTGGGTCCACAAATACTCGTCGCTCCTGTTCCCTCACCATAATGCGAACCCTTTCTTGCTATCTTTATGGTGCCTCATTGTTGGTTGCGAGAATCTAAACCAGACTTATATCAACTTATATCATCCCAATACAATTAGCACTTATAGATTATATCATGAGGCGTTGAGAAAAAAAGAAGAAATTTTCAGAGAAAAGTCACACTGGCTTCGCAGGAGTGCTGACATTATTTCGAATACCTGGACGCGTGTAAAGCCTCACTCCGTAACGCTTAATTTTTCAGAAAACTGCTATTTAATTTGCAGTGGACTGTTTTCGCAAAAAAAGAAGTAAGCAGATACAAGAATAAATTATACTTTAAAGTAGACATCACATCATAGGGATATAATATTCAGCTGAGATACCTGACAGTATTTATGATCTTACGTGAGCACTATGTCTACTCTCTGATCATACGTTCATCTGAAGTACAAAATAGGTAAACATATCGGCACCGTAAAATTCACGACCATTTTGTATCAATTAAAAAAAAAGTTGCAGGCAAGGTCTGAGAAATATTTCCTTTTAGTTTCAACTACAGAGAGGTATATTCAACGTCATTGTGCAACGTTGGCCTTGTACTCTGGATAGGAAGCTGTTTTACGTCATGCCTCAGAATTTGCAGAGCAACAAATTTCTACCAAAGCTGCATGCTCATGATGTGCAATGAATTGCCACCGCAACAATTTTATAGGTCTTTTGTCATTGAATGGACAAGCCTGGATTGACAACCGGCGTTTTTGCCTCCACGTGCTGCGTGATCTTGGATTTGGGAGGAGCTCCATGGAAGAAAAACTTAAGGTGAGACTTCTTTTAGGCAAGGCGCGTATTGTGGTCCTAGCCCAGAAAAAAAAGAACAGTGCTCTTGAAGATCTGACGTGAAGCTCTCTCTGATTAAGTAGCATCCTCTTTAAAGCATCTATAAAATGGTGTTTACTTTGTCTTGAAAAATAAACTTCTGGTGTATTTCTTGTTCACTATATATGCCAGTGGAAAAAAAATCTAAGTGAATTTTCCTAAGCACAAATGAATGGGGCCTGCGGACCACTCAACTTAATGGCCTGTGAAGCACTCGGCCGTTCAATAGGCCTGCGATCCACTCAATGGAGTGAGTGAAATTTGTAATGGTGCATGCAAAGTATTTTATTACATAATTTTTGCAGTAAGCATGTATAGACAGCCCTAGCGGCAATAGCCGGTAGTCAAACGTTAACCATCACTGGTATACGAGTGGCCGTGTGGTGTCACATGGCATGTTTATTATGTAATGTAAGTCAGGTCAAGCATTAATATGTTCTGATATTCCACTTGAAAAAAAAACCAGCAACGACATTTTGTCATCGATACCATATTCATGTCATATACCTTCTGACATTCCAAGTCACTCAATACAAAACGACGTCATCACGGTGTTCGCATTATGTGGTTTGTGTCATATATGCTATGGATCGACTATACATTTTTAAGCATTAGCGTCAAGCTCTTAATGCTTAAAAAATGGACCATGAAATGTTACAGGACAGCCACTCTTCAATTTAGTGTGCTCTTGACAAGTACCAACAAGCTCAGATGAAGACACTGCTGACCGAATACATATGCTATCGTTGAAGTTATCTAAGTCCTCAAGCCGCTCTAAACATACCTTGATCCAAGAATGGTAGCATTTATGTGGTTTACTTGTTAGTAGCATCTCCATTGTACCTCGTCTGATTCCAGGAAGAAGCACAGTACCTGACTGAAAAGATTGCTGAACATATCGGTGCACCCTTAGCCATCCAGGATTTACTCGTGCCCAGCACATCCAACAATGTTACAGCACTTGTATTTGGGACGCGGTATGCATTTGAAGACGCCCGGAGGCAGTTTTTGGATGATCGACTCAAGAAGCTGTCAAGATTCATCGGTGCCAGAAGACTGAGTCTTCTTCTGCCTAGGTGGATAAACCAGCTGGCCGCCAAAATACCAGTCCTGAAAAATAACCTCGCTGGACCCATTCTCGATGAGCTACTCGCCTTTTTCAGGTATGCCTGCCCAAACCGAGCTGTGGGTGATCACTATTTGCAAGGACTCCGTCTGGTTTTGATAAACACCAAGTGAACTATAAGATCACCACGCGGGACCGATTTAAAGGCATGATTGAGAGGAGGCGTAATTTACCGTACGGCTGTTTTTTTACGTTGTTTGTAGGTTTCCATCTGTTATAAAGACAGAAAATGGAAAATGAAAGGAAAGGACTTTACAGAGATTCTCTGCTGGTAATTATGCATTTCTGACAGAGTTGTTTAAATGACGGGTAAGCGTTCGGTACTAATCGCCTGCTATTTCCCTTTCGTACGGTGCTAACTGTGGTGAACATGACGCGTTAAGGTAGTTTTCAAGAGGTTATAGGTCAGCTGCCAGCTCGTAAAAAAAGGTGAAGTACTTAGTGACGCCAACAGGCAGAAAAAAAGTGTTCCGCACTCACCGTCATGACAACTAGCAGCAACGGCTAACACTCTCAGGTATAAACGCCCATACATACTTTACAAAGTGGATGAGAGGATGGCCGCCACCGTAGCTTAGTTGGTAGAGCATGGGACACGTTATCTGAGGGTCGCAAGCTCTGTGCCTGTGGGAAGTTATTGTTTCATCTCTTATAGCTTCTTCACACTTACAATACAAGTAGAACGAATAACATCTCCTACACTTTCCTTGGCTTTCTCGTCTGTTAGTTCAAATTAATCTTGTTGTTAGCGCGATGAGAAAAAACAAGATTTCAAAGTTCCATTTCCTTCATTCGTAACGGTGTAAATAGTTTTGCTGCAGATAGCTCTATATATCGGAAGCCTTTCCTGAAACGTTGCACCCAAGCGGCACAGAAAAGGCACCTTTCAGCTTCTTGCTTGTGCTCGTCAGCGTCTGGAACGGTGCATGGCGCGACCAACGAAACGCATGTTCTGAATTAAATTTTCAATATGTGTACACTCCTACGTGTAAGTTTCACACTGTCCTAAAGAAAGCTTTTTGGGGTGAAAGTCTCATATGCTTCAGGAGTGAAAAGTTCGACGTGGTTGGCGTCAGCAAAGGACCTTACGTGCTGACGATTGTTTAAACCTTTAAGGTTTAAAACAATCTAACTTGTTTATGGCCCGACTCGCGCGATGTGTGCGCTCACTTCGCCATTGCGAAAGCAAGGAGTCGAGGTGATAAAAAAACAAAAAAAAAAAGATTCTGCAAGAGGTATTCGAGAGAAACATCTGAATCTGAAGAAAAAAATGTACTGCTGAGTTGCTTAAGTGTCTAATTGAGTTCCAAGACTTACCATGTTTGTTTTATTGTGCCATCGTAGTATGCAGCATAACTGGAAATGCCAGGAATAGTATCGTTAACAATTACAATGAATGCACTGTTGTGGTTGCCTTATGGTTTTTGCCTTAAGTCATCTTGGCGTTACTTCAGGTACTTCAGAGACTAACTGTCCAATAATGCGACATATTTCAACAAAGGCTTCATAGAATGTGTTCCTTTTCTTTACCTATGTGTGGTGTCACCGGTGCATCGCATTCGTATTCCTCACAAATGTTCGCGTTTTGCGAGCGATGGTGTTGACTTCAGTGGGTACTACAATGAGCTTTTGAGTAGTGAAGGGGACGGGGTAATTTCAAACCCATCAAAGCCAAAAAAGTTTGTTTTGTTTTATATACATTCCTCCTATTCAGCGACTGTTTACGCGACGGGCAGAGAGGTGCGCTGACGCACAGGTTTTACGTCAAGTCTGCTTAGAAATGCTAAATGCTTACGCATTTAAGGCAATTTGTTGCAAGTAGTAAACGAGCCCGTAAATTCCACGGTTGGTTTTGGTCCTGTTCATTTTGGCGAGAATTCGTTTTATCTTTTTTCAGTTTCATTTCTTGCTATCACGTAGTTACATGAAGCTTCTAATCGACAAATATGACACTCTTCTTTCGTTGAATTCATTATCTGTTGTCTTAGTATGATGGTGCCAAATGAATTATTGTAAGAATTAATCGACGAGGTAATTACAGTAAGTATTAGGAACAAATATTAACTTAGGCTGTAATGTTTCTTTCCCGAAATATGTTTTTAAATATGAAGCATTGTTTTGTTGTTTTTGCTGCAATGGTTTGGTCTCGTTTTATTCTCCGCCAGAAGCGAAATACGAGAGCATGAAGCAACTTTGGACGAGCACACTGATCGGGACTTCATTGACGCTTACATCAAGAAAATAAGAGAGAATGTGGGGCCAAATGAAAGCTCCAGCTTTCAGAGTGAGTATTAAGAAGCTTATCTAACCTTGTTCTCTTTTTTCGGATTATCATTGACATAAAAAATGTTGTCCACGCCTAAGAACAAACCTGACTGAAGACAGATCCTTAGCACTCCAATGCAATACACTGGAAGATCATGACAATAATTCGTGAGCAGTTCTGTTTAAACATGTGCAAGCTAATTAATCGAGAAGAAAGGTAGCAATTTTTTTCAGTATTGAGTTGTTTTCTATTTCAACTGGCTCATATCTGACGGTGCATGCTAAAAAATGAGTACCTAGCTGTTACTCCTTTTGTCGAGTGCTGACTTGGAACAAAAATACTAACTTTCTTTAATGGTACACACGTTAACTATGCTTTGAAGAGTCGTGCCTATACCCCAACTCTCCGAAGAGGGTATAATGATTGCTTGGATAAGTTAAAAACTGTCTTCAAAAATGACGTATCTTAATTTCTTTTTGTAGATGCGAAGCAGCTCTTTGACTAGCCTGGGTAACTTTGTCCCTCCGTGCGTCCATACGAACGTGCCGCGACGCGCTCCTCTAACCGCAGGTGTTGAAGTGGTGCCAAGTAGGTCATGCCGCAGCTGTGCTTCCGTCACAGTGCTCCCTCGCCGTAGCGCCCGCAGCTGCCGCCTCGTTCGCTCGCCCGCAACACTTGCCGGTACCGCCGCTCACTTCGCTACCACAAGCGCTGCTCGCGAAAGTTCCAGCGCTCACTGGAGCACCCGCGTTACCGCCGTTCAACTCGTGACGCTACCCGTGTGCAACGCTGCTGTTTCGTATCTTATCGGGGTTCCCTTTAGGAAGATGGTGTGAATTTTCATTTATTCATCTGTTATTTCGGTGATAGACCACTATTTCGATCATCTCTCTATAAAAATGTAATCGGGTTGTTTCAAATATTGCCAGTATTGTTTCGGGTGAATTGTGTGTTCTCTAAATTAGATCGCCGCTCTCAGAACACAAGGAGACAGTTCATGGCGTCGGGCAAACCACAACACCTGTACATTTGTTCACTTGGTCTTACAACGACAATATCGCGAGCCATATCTGATACGTCACTAGTGAAACGCTAAGAAACCTTTTACAATATACAAACAGAACGCGTAAGCCACATAACAAACCAACACAAGGTACCGCGAATGCGGCGTCGTCGATGTTGACTCGCAACAAGAGATCCACGGGAAACGGCCCGTGGTTGCTGTTCTCCGCGGACTCTACGCAGCATACGCGAAAGAGACTCGCTTGAGTCACTACTTTCTTCCGTGCGCCAGCCTAGCCTCTCCACCACAGCGGCGTGGGGGCGCCACCGCTAACGCTAACCCATGCAAACATAGCGCCACCTCCCGCTTGATGACTGAAGCTAAATGCGCGTGCGACATGCGCGTGCGTCCTGAGGCGCAAACGGCCTTACAGAGCGTTATAGCAGCACCCCCCCCCCTCCACACACACACACATTTGTCATGAGTCATTTCTTTTTGTTCACTCCGAAGGCACTGTTCAGTCGGTAATGTAGCTTGTGATGCGATCTGTTCGCCCTCTTTCACAGTGAATTCCCTGATTGGAAACATCTTCAGCTTCTTCGTTGCCGGTTCGAGCACCGTAAAAGAGACGCTTCAATGGCACCTGCTAGTGTGCGCCGACAAGCCTGACTTCGTGCAGAGAAGAATACAAGAAGAGATCGACAAAGTGATTGGCCGCGAGAGGGTGCCATCGTGGGCTGACCACAAAGCTATGCCTTTCACCGTGGCCGTTCTTTGGGAAGTCTACCGATGGCGAACGGTCACGCCACTCGGAATCCCGAGAATGTACGTTACAAAGCAGCGAAAATGTAGTCTAGTTAGTTGAATGAAATGAAAGCGTTACCATGCCAAAGCAGTGCTTCAAACGGCATAATTTTCTTTTACCAACCCACGGGACGAAAAAAAAAAAAAAGTTGCCTCTAATTTGCAACCTCATACTGCTGGACTCAGCTTTGCATAACGAGTGTACCAATGACATTGTGAAAAGTTCATAATCCAATTTAGGTCACGTATTGCGTTAGCTGGCATGATGGGCAGAGAGAGTGCTTTACCGCGTGCTTCTTCATGAACAGCTGACACAGCCGGATTAACCACAGTAATTACTCTTGCTGAAAACCGCCTCCTATATGGACGCCCCTCGATTACACGGCCCCTACTCTAGCTGTGAAATTCGTGTTGACCATCGACCTGTTTAGTACAACTCAGCAATGGTCTGTATACGCAGCCATCATTTCTCAACTCGCTAGGAATATTCGAGCGTTATGCACACTGGCCTACTATAAGAAAGGTCTTCTCACCCACACCTCCTTCAACTTCCTGTCTTGCTCTTAATATTTTGATTTTTAATGACGAAAGCGTAAAGGGGCTTAAAGCTAAAACTGACATTTTTGAAGTTGACACAAACGGTAATAATGTGCATTTACATTCAACAAGACAAACTAAAATTCAAACGTGAGATTCACGCATGCTGCAGCATTTTCTGCCTAGCTGACGCATAGTGTTAATACAACGACAGCAGCACGGCTTGTAAAGGCCAGTATAGGCGCAAAGCGTTGTTCTAGATTAGACTTTCTTCCAGCTAGTACACAAATTGATGGGGTTTAACGTTCCAAAACCATGATACGTTTATAAATGATGCTATAGTAGAGCGCACCAGAAAATTTGACCCGTGCATCTAAATATAAATACTTGGGCAGCTAGCATTTTCACCTCCATCTAGAATGCGGCCGTCGTAGCCGGGATTGGATCCCACAACATTTGGATCAGCAGTCGAGCCCCAGCATAGCGGGTCTTTCGGCTATTACACTGGAGGCCTAGGTAGAACAGCGGCACCATCTCTGAGTGCATAAATACTCCTCTACAAAAACACCAAGGCGAGAAACACTTTTTCTCATGTTAGTAAATTGCAGTCATTCAGAATTCCAGAATCTGCATGCTTGCCGCTGTGAGAGGCTTGATAAATGAGAAAATGAGGGTGGCGACGCACCCTAAACATCTCCGCATGAAACATGGTAACGTCGTAGATTTTGAGATCTACCATGTCTTATACGTAGTTTCTAATCAGCAAAATGGAGAGCACATTGTTCAACGATAAGGCCATAGACTTAACATGCCAATTTGAGCAAACTTCGTTTGAATATAAGGCAAAACGTGAAAAATACAGTCTGATAACAGTGATGTCACGTGTGGTGATTTCTGAATGACATTTAGGCTTTAACTTTTGACGTTGATGTATTCCTTTATTGATGGTAAAGTTAACAACATTGTAAAGTTCTCAGACGGCAATGTGTTAGTCTAACACAGCTAAGCTTCCCTTTAATGTACCCAAAATATTTATGATTACAATTGTTTTTTATAGAGCTGGCGAGAACGCTGTCTTCAAAAACCACTTCATCCCGAAAGGCACCACTGTGATCGCTAACCTACGGGCAGTGCACATGAGCCCGGACTACTGGAAAAATCCAGAAGAGTTCAACCCACAACGTTTTTTGAAGGAGGATGGTTCAGAATTGCTGCCCAAACCAGATCAACTCATTCCATTTTCGACTGGTAAGTGTTCCCGATTTGCCTGAATAAAACTGTAATGAACTGAAAGTTCCATTAGGCTCCATCGAGGAAAAACTTTGTCTTGAGTGGGCAGTAGTCTAAAGCAGTTGTCTTCTAACGCTGCTAATACTTCTTGTTCGCCTTCTACTGTGCTTCACACTATATGCGCGGGGCTTCGGCCAAGAATTGAGTGGTAACGCTTTTCTCACCCATTCTTTTTCATCATTTCAGGAAAGCGAATGTGTCCTGGAGAAACGATGGCCACAGTAGAAATCTTCTTATATCTGACGACAATACTGCAGAAGTTCAACGTTCTCCCTGAAGCTCACGGAGTCAATCTCTCATCAGGCGCTTCAACTCTCAGCCAGGCTCAAAAACAAAAGCTTCGCTTCGTGCCTCGTTAATGTTAAAAAAATATTGAGGCAGCTTTGCACTAGGGGTGTCAATTGCATGCGCTTGAAGAAAGTGCGCAGCTGGGTATTGGTTTGGTTTATTTGTTTGTTGCCTGTGAGCACTGGCACGTACCGACTATTTAGTCGTGAATGAGATTAGTCATGAATACTTGTAGTAGCATAAATGTGATACACTGATTGTGGGCCTATTTATAAAAAACAAAAAACAATTATAGCAAACTTTTTCAAACATAAAATAATATAATAACAAAATAAAGTTGAATCAATAAATGAAAAAGAGAGCTAATACTATATCAGAAGACTGCAATTTTCAGTAGACCTGACAATCGAGTTTACCTCACCCGATCAAAATCGAATGACTTCGTTGCCTTTTCTTCTCGTTCTCTGATGGCTCATACTCAATGCGGGGAATCGGCCGAGTAGTAGGTGAATTGTTTCAGTATTTTTTTAAAAATATACAACTCGTATAGGCTCGAATTACCTATATAATACAACGAATTTAAGTAATAATTATTATTGATAAGATATTTAATGATGAAGAATTCAGCTAAATATTCTTTTAGACTGAATGATAAATTTCCCTACGGCGAAGAAAACATCCCTGTGACAGTAGCCCAGAGTAGAGGTGCCGAAAAAAAGAACACCAGATTTTGATATTTCGAGGCGCAGACTTCGAAGAGATGGTACACTTTTTCTCAATGACATGAACCGGCGACAAGATAGAAAGTAAGAACTAATGGTTTCCTCCTCATTACAGAAGAGACACAGAGGGGAAATTGCTTGACCTGCTCTATGCAGGTAAAAATGGAGGAAGGTAACGCGGCAGGGAAATTTGCTTATAGTCACTTCCATTATTCTCGACTTCGCAACTAACGAGGTTACTAGCGGATCACTGCGCCAGGGAAATAAGAGATACTTATATTCTGGAAAGCTGTCAATTGAGACACGGTCTCATAAGCCTTTTCTGATTGTTAATGTGCGAAATCTTGCAATAGTGATGCGTGCTGTTCGTGTTCTATCTATCTATCTATCTATCTATCTATCTATCTATCTATCTATCTATCTATCTATCTATCTATCTATCTATCTATCTATCTATCTATCTATCTATCTATCTATCTATCTATCCATCTATCCATCCATCTATCCATCTATCCATCCATCTATCCATCTATCCATCCATCCATCCATCCATCCATCCATCCATCCATCCATCCATCCATCCATCCATCCATCCATCCATCCATCCATCCATCCATCCATCCATCCATCCATCCATCCATCCATCCATCCATCCATCCATCCATCCATCCATCTATCTATCTATCTATCTATCTATCTATCTATCTATCTATCTATCTATCTATCTATCTATCTATCTATCTATCTATCTATCTATCTATCTATCTATCTATCTATCTATCTATCTATCCATCCATCCATCCATCCATCCATCCATCCATCCATCCATCTATCTATCTATCTATCTATCTATCTATCTATCTATCTATCTATCTATCTATCTATCTATCTATCTATCCATCTATCCGTCTGTCTGTCTGTCTGTCTGTCTGTCTGTCTGTCTGTCTATCTATCTATCTATCTATCTATCTATCTATCTATCTATCTATCTATCTATCTATCTATCTATCTATCTATTTATCTATCTATCTATCTATCTATCTATCTATCTATCTATCTATCTATCTATCTATCTATCTATCTATCTGCTTACGACTTTTGGCTATCCTGGCCGTTTCAATAATGGGATCTATACCAAAGTTGGCATAGCATAACATGACTTATAACGAGCATAAGTGACTGGTCATAAGATGATAATCATTGAATGTATGGCCCCGCCGCAGTGTTCTAGTGGCTAAGGTACTGGCTGCTGACCCGCAGGTCGCGGGATCGAATCCCGGCTGCGGCGGCTGCATTTCCGATGGAGGCGGAAATGTTGTAGGCCCGTGTGCTCAGATTTGGGTGCACGTTAAAGAACACCAGGTGGTCTAAATTTCCAGAGCCCTCCACTACGGCGTCTCTCATAATCATATGGTGGTTTCGGGACGTTAAACACCACATATCAATCATTACACGTATGTTATCAATTTCATTACTTACTTTTCATGAACTTGCTGCCCGTGCGATGGTTCAGTTCACATGTATTACATATGGCAAAACTAATAAAAAACTGCACAATATTCTATAAAAACCACTCAATTCCCCGCCGCGGTGGTCTAGTGGCTAAGGTACTCGGCTGCTGACCCGCAGGTCGCGGGTTCGTATCCCGGCTGCGGCGGCGGCTGCATTTCCGATGGAGGCGGAAATGTTGTAGGGCCCGTGTGCTCAGATTTGGGTGCACGTTAAAGAACCCCAGGTGGTCGAAATTTCCGGAGCCCTCCACTACGGCGTCTCTCATAATCATATTGTCACGAGGTTGTGATACACGCAGCACTTGAGAGGAAGCACGCAGGAGTCAGGGCGGTGTCAGGCGAACTGTTTATTGGGCGAACTTGTGCCCAGCAAAACAGGGCCAAACACAACTCACAGCAACAGCGGCGTGAACAGTCGTCGGCCGACGGGAAAAAAAAAAGACCCCCAGTGGCGCACTGCGCCGGCTTTTTATACACGCGTCGTAACGCGTTCCAAAGTGGCATACAAGATAAACGCGGCCTGCGTTGCGCTTAACAGAAAGTGATAGCGTCTTCCTTCGCAAACCAAAAGAACCGCACGTGTCAGTTTTTATACACGCGTCATAACGCGTTCCAGAGTGGCATACAAGATAAACGCGGCCTGCGTTGCGCTTAACAGAAAGTGATAGCGTCTTCCTTCGCAAACGAAAAGAACCGCACGTGTCAGTTTTTTATACACGCGTCGTAACGCGTTCCAGAGTGGCATACAAGATAAACGCGGCCTGCGTTGCGCTTAACAGAAAGTGATAGCGTCTTCCTTCGCAAACGAAAAGAACCGCACGTGTCAGTTTTTTATACACGCGTCATAACGCGTTCCAGAGTGGCATACAAGATAAACGCGGCCTGCGTTGCGCTTAACAGAAAGTGATAGCGTCTTCCTTCGCAAACGAAAAGAACCGCACGTGTCAGTTTTTTATACACGCGTCGTAACGCGTTCCAGAGTGGCATACAAGATAAACGCGGCCTGCGTTGCGCTTAACAGAAAGTGATAGCGTCTTCCTTCGCAAACGAAAAGAACCGCACGTGTCAGTTTTTTATACACGCGTCGTAACGCGTTCCAGAGTGGCATACAAGATAAACGCGGCCTGCGTTGCGCTTAACAGAAAGTGATAGCGTCTTCCTTCGCAAACGAAAAGAACCGCACGTGTCAGTTTTTTATACACGCGTCATAACGCGTTCCAGAGTGGCATACAAGATAAACGCGGCCTGCGTTGCGCTTAACAGAAAGTGATAGCGTCTTCCTTCGCAAACGAAAAGAACCGCACGTGTCAGTTTTTTATACACGCGTCGTAACGCGTTCCAGAGTGGCATACAAGATAAACGCGGCCTGCGTTGCGCTTAACAGAAAGTGATAGCGTCTTCCTTCGCAAACGAAAAGAACCGCACGTGTCAGTTTTTATACACGCGTCAGTAACGCGTTCCAGAGTGGCATACAAGATAAACGCGGCCTGCGTTGCGCTTAACAGAAAGTGATAGCGTCTTCCTTCGCAAACGAAAAGAACCGCACGTGTCAGTCTTTATACACGCGTCATAACGCGTTCCAGAGTGGCATACAAGATAAACGCGGCCTGCGTTGCGCTTAACAGAAAGTGATAGCGTCTTCCTTCGCAAACGAAAAGAACCGCACGTGTCAGTCTTTATACACGCGTCATAACGCGTTCCAGAGTGGCATACAAGATAAACGCGGCCTGCGTTGCGCTTAACAGAAAGTGATAGCGTCTTCCTTCGCAAACGAAAAGAACCGCACGTGTCAGTTTTTTATACACGCGTCAGTAACGCGTTCCAGAGTGGCATACAAGATAAACGCGGCCTGCGTTGCGCTTAACAGAAAGTGATAGCGTCTTCCTTCGCAAACGAAAAGAACCGCACGTGTCAGTTTTTTATACACGCGTCGTAACGCGTTCCAGAGTGGCATACAAGATAAACGCGGCCTGCGTTGCGCTTAACAGAAAGTGATAGCGTCTTCCTTCGCAAACGAAAAGAACCGCACGTGTCAGTTTTTTATACACGCGTCGTAACGCGTTCCAGAGTGGCATACAAGATAAACGCGGCCTGCGTTGCGCTTAACAGAAAGTGATAGCGTCTTCCTTCGCAAACGAAAAGAACCGCACGTGTCAGTTTTTTATACACGCGTCGTAACGCGTTCCAGAGTGGCATACAAGATAAACGCGGCCTGCGTTGCGCTTAACAGAAAGTGATAGCGTCTTCCTTCGCAAACGAAAAGAACCGCACGTGTCAGTTTTTTATACACGCGTCGTAACGCGTTCCAGAGTGGCATACAAGATAAACGCGGCCTGCGTTGCGCTTAACAGAAAGTGATAGCGTCTTCCTTCGCAAACGAAAAGAACCGCACGTGTCAGTCTTTTATACACGCGTCATAACGCGTTCCAGAGTGGCATACAAGATAAACGCGGCCTGCGTTGCGCTTAACAGAAAGTGATAGCGTCTTCCTTCGCAAACGAAAAGAACCGCACGTGTCAGTCTTTTATACACGCGTCATAACGCGTTCCAGAGTGGCATACAAGATAAACGCGGCCTGCGTTGCGCTTAACAGAAAGTGATAGCGTCTTCCTTCGCAAACGAAAAGAACCGCACGTGTCAGTTTTTTATACACGCGTCATAACGCGTTCCAGAGTGGCATACAAGATAAACGCGGCCTGCGTTGCGCTTAACAGAAAGTGATAGCGTCTTCCTTCGCAAACGAAAAGAACCGCACGTGTCAGTTTTTTATACACTGCGTCGTAACGCGTTCCAGAGTGGCATACAAGATAAACGCGGCCTGCGTTGCGCTTAACAGAAAGTGATAGCGT